AGAACATGGAACAGTTTGTCCAATCAATTGGAAAACAGGGAAAGATACAATTGAACCAACACCAGAAGGAATCAAGAAATATTTAACAACACATTAAAATAAACAAGATATTTTAATAAATTTTATTATTAAGAAGAAAATGATAATAAACATATAAAATAAAGAATAAACATAATAATTTAATAAATGAATAGAAATTAAAAGAAACAATAATAAAATAAAAGAAATAATAAAGAATATTTCAAATAATATAATAATTAAACAATAAAATGATATAAACAAACAAATAAATATTTTATATAATATTTCAATTATTATTTATTTCTTTTATATTATTCTTTATTCTATTTGACTTATTCATTATTTTTACATTTCTTATATTTATTCTTTTTACTTTTTATTATTTATATTTATTCTTTTATCTCTTATTCTTACATTCTCTCTCTATTTTATTTTTCTTCTATGTTCTTTTACTTCTTAATCATTATTATTCTATTTATTCTATTCATTTCTATTTCTTCATTTCTTCTTATTATATTCTTTATTATCATTCTTTTGTTTTATTTCTCTTATTTTTTCTTTATTATCTTTTCTTTTTGTATATTTCATTCATCAATTATTTCATCATTCTCATTATTCTTTTATTGTTATATAGTATATTTTATTGAGAGATGATTGCTATGAACAAAACACAACAAAATAATTATAAAAATTATAACAAGTTATATTTGAACAATTATCTAAATGGAGGAATACCATAATGATAAAAGTAATAATCAACAATAATACATTGATGTTTATGAAAGTGATTGATGGAACTGGTATATCTCTTTGAAGTGTTTAAGAAAAACAAAGAAATAGATGAGATAACATAAATAACAAATATAATGATAAGAGAATGAGATTATATTTGATAATATCAAAAGAATCATATATTCAGTTAGAAAAAGAAGATTAATATATAGAAATGAAATTTAAACAATAAACATGAAAGAAAGATAAAAGAATAATATGAAATAAAAACATAAAGTTAGAAAAGAAGAAAGAGTAGAACATATATAAGAAAGTTGAATGAGAAATAAAAGAATAGAAAAAAGAAATGAAGAAATAAAAGAAATGAATGATAACATTGAACATAACGAAACAATAACATAATATAAAATATTGTAAATAAACGAACAGTTATTGTATATTTTAATTTTACAATTGATAATATCAATTAATTATTAAAATGTCAATGAAGTCATGATAATTTTATTTTATTATCAAATGAAATCAATTATAAATAACAAATCATTTAGAATTAATAATTCAATTGATAGGTCAATGAAATTATACAACAAATTAAAAGAGATATGTAATGAAGTTGAAAATAAATAAAAAGAGAAAGTCAATAACAAAAAGAAATAAACAGAAAAAGAAATAATAGAGATATTAAAACAGAAAAGAAGAAAAATGGATAAACAATCTATATATATTAATATCAGAATTAATGAATGATAAATAGTTAAAATAATCAATGAATATTATATTCATATCAACAATTATATGAAATTAAATATAATTATACAATTACATCAATTATCAAACAAATAATAGAAGAAAATACCAATAAAAGTAATAAATGAAAATTTAATGATAAATTAATGTCAAAATAGATAAATCAGACAAATATTAGTTAACAATAAATATACAACAATTAAATGAATAACACTCATAAAAAGAATATAAATAAAATGAAAACACAATAAAGAATCAATTAATATCCATATTTAATTATTACTAGAATGTAGAAATAGAAAATAAAAGAGAAAATAAGAAAAGAGTCAAATTGAATTTATTACTGATGAGATATTGAAAAAGAAAAGAAAACCATAAACAAGAAATTAGAAAAATGACAATAAAAGAAAATACAATGAGATTTTGGAAAGAAATATAATAGAAAGAAGAAACAAATAAAATAAGAGTGAAGAAATTGAATAAACAATCAAATGAATAAGAAAAAAGTCTAGGAATAGATTTAATTCAAATAATTTGTATAAAATAAGTTATAACAGTAAAAGAATAAAGAAATAAAGAATTGATTAAACATCACTAAGTATAATAAATGAAATTCTAAAATGGATATTAATACAAAGAAGAGAACCAGTAAATCATAAAAACTACAAACAAATTAATGTTAAGTTGTTTATTAAAATTCTTTACTTGATTTATTAAAAAATGAACAATAATTATTAAAGAATAATAAAATAAAACAAATAATACAAATACATTATTGATGAAAGAGATTCTCATTCCATCTAATGAATAATTACTTGAAAATGAATTATTACAAACATATTTTATTAGAAATAAAATGAATAGAAATGTATATAGAGGTTATGAAAGGATATGTTAATGTAAAACATTAATTGTTAATAAAATAGTTAAAATAATACAATACTCAAGAAGATATAACTGAGATTATAAAATATAAGATGAATGGAAATACGACTATTGTATATTCTAATAACATAATGGTGAAATAAACAATGAAACAAGAATATTCCAACGAGATGTATTGTCTCTTATTCATATTATTGATTGATTGTTTATCAAAACATTGAATGAGAAGAATTCAAAATGTAATTACACATAATCAACAAATGAATATAACATAGAAATAAATCATTTATTTATATTGATGATTTAAAATAATTGCAAACTCAAATGAAGAAATGAAATTGCAAAATACATAATAAGAAGAATATTTAAATAATTAATAAAAATAAATGATGATAAATGATGAATAATGATAGATGAAAATGAGAATGGACCAGAATAAATAAGAAATAACACACAAGTAAGTAACAATAATACATAAAATAACTATGAACAAAATAAATAAAGAAAAATGAAATAGAAGAATAAACAAGTGAATTAAAGAAATAATAAATAATATAACAACAAGAGAAAAGAGTAGTATTGATCTAATACTGATGATAATACAGATGTTCTATCAAAAATCATTATCTGATTATTGATAATGAACTGGACATTATGTGAAATAAAACATAATGAAATAGAAATAAGAAAACTATTTTATTCAAAGTCTGTATATTCTAAGTTGGTAAAATGGACAAAGAACACACAACTGGTAACTTTTTAAAGTACATTAGAAATATATGCAGAAATTTCATAAGAAGGAAAAGAGATACAAAGAAGTTCATTAACAAAATTGAAAATATGATAGTACCACTTTTAAAGAAGACCATACATTAAGTAAAGAGTGAATTAAAACAAAGAGGTTGAAAGAAATAATACTAATAAGAAATAATAATGATGAAAATAAAAATAGTACTCAACTAATAAAAAGAAAAAAGAAGAAGATAAATGATTGATAGAAAGAAACTGAAAGCATTAATAGTTTTATATGTGAATATGATAAATTTATATATGAACTGGCAATAGTTATCAACCAAAATGATTGTCGAGTGAAGGATATGAAAGTATATCAGAAAATGAAATAGTTATATCAGTGATGTTGATAATGATTATATAGATGAAACAGAAATAACAGAAAGAGTGTTAGAAACAATAATTGATGAGAGTAAAGGAAAAGGATAAATTATAAGATAAGATAATGAAAGACTAAAAAAGAGAATAGAATAAATGGATAAAAAGATTTTATAAAGAGTAATACAACTCTTTAAAAACATATTTAATTCAAAATCAAATAAATGGATTTTACTTATGAATTAAACTAGTTGAAATAAGTTTTATTTAAATATATATTCTAAATTAATACAAAGAGATAGATTATAAACAACAAGAAAATGATATGGAGTATGATTAATGAGTGAAAGAGATGAAAGTTGAAAAGAAATCATTAGAGTATATTTGAAAAATGAATATAAAACAATAACATAAGAAGTAAAGAAATTAATAGAAATAAATAATGAATATGAAAAAGAACAAACTTTCCATTATTTACACTTTATACTCTTCTTCTATTCTCATTGTTTTATTGTTTTATTATATGTATATTTTCCATGTTGTTTATTCAATTTCACATTCTCATCTATTTCACATTATTAAAATGAATGGATAACTTGTTGGTGATATAAAAATCTATTATTTCTTGTATTCATTCATTTGTTAATTCTTCTACTTCTTTTACTTAATTCATTTTTCATCATCATTAAAATATTGAAAGAATAGAAAGTACAATGTCTATCGTATTAAATTTTATATCTTTTATTGTTGTTATTCATTTTTCATTTGTATTTTATTGTTAAAATAAAAATAAATGATTGATTTATACTATGATTAAAATAGTAATAATACTCCTAATGATCATAACAGATGAAACACTATCATCATAACTATCATTAGTATAACTATAACTACTTTCACTACTTATTAAATAAATTGACTCAATATGATTCTGACATGTACAACATGTATACTCACTTATTATTTCAATATCTTAACCATTTCTATAATTACAATCTTCATGTGTTTTAAACATGAATTCAATAATTATTGTTTTCTTCAACATATTTTGTTTTATCATCACACTTATTTATTTGAATTGTTGTAGAAATCATTGATTTAGAAATGTCTTTAATATTACACATTTGATTTATTTCAATGAATGTAACAATATCATTTCTAAATGAAATATCTGAAACAAGATCATCAAAAATACTTTAAATTCAAGGAACAACTATATTAGATATTTCTTATTTGAATATTTGAATAACATAACTCCTGTTACTTTCTGTTGTTTTAACAACTTTCTTAAAAACATACTCTTCAGTTTTAAGACAACTTTTAACACTATTATTTTATATTTAACATTGCTTATCTTTGAATAAACATTTCATTTCTTTCAATCCATTTAAACCACATCTTTAACAAACTACATGGATGTTCTGTATCTTTTCAATATTCAAATTATACAAATATAGATATTACAACAATAAACACTCTTGTTTAAATTCATTCTCCATCAAATATTATTTCTTCATTCTTTTATCACATCTATTTTCAATATATAAAACACATGTTGTAATAATATCTTTAGTACCATGAATTGTAATATCACTTCTTTTATTATATTGAATGTTATTATCATCTTTATTCAATTCATAAATATCATTTGAATCAAATATGTCATTTCTACATCATGTTTTAATAAATATCTTGATTTCATTTGTTGAACTTTTCTAAATGAAGATGAAATATCATGAATATGTACTTTACTTTTAATATTAATAATATTTCTAATTTCAATTTCATATCATCAAATCTATCAATAATAATATTTTCAAATTCATTATATGCATTATTTTGATTATATTTATATTGAACAACACCAATTTGAGTCATAATGAACTTATTATTATAATAAATATTACTATTATTGTAGTATGTGTATTGTGTTTTATAATATCTCAGTATTTTCAAGTTTAATATCAGTAATATATTTTGATGGTATTTCATTACTTAAGTCATATGAATTATTACTATCTTCATATACTTGTGTACATTTATCATCATTAATTATTTTAATTTGATAATCAGATATTTAATATTAGATTTATCATCTTTACCATTCTTATTTTCAATAGTAGTGATACTATTACTAGATTTACTATGAGATAGTGTTTTTGTATTTTGAATATTCCTCTCATGTGTATTCTCTTTATTAATTATCCTATATTCTTTATCTTCTCCATTCTTGTTGTTATGTTTTGATTGTTAGTTATTCTAATCTATTGTTTATGAAATACATTCATATACTTCTTCTCATATTTAAAACATTTTGCACTATCCATATCTTTATCAATGTGGAATGGAAGTTCTAAAACATTGTGATATTCATTGTTATTATTGTAGTGGTTCAAACAGAAAATTCAAGTTGAAATCTCTTCTTCAAAATTGATTGTAATAATCAATAAAAAACAAATCATTGATTATAAAAGAAGTTACTCACTCATTTAAATACATCACCATTGTTATTCAATCTTTTAAACACTATATTTGATGAGATGTATTCGTTTTTCAACTCAAATTCTTAATAAATAAATATTATAAAAGATTAAATATTAATGAAACAAATCAAATACCTAACATACTCTTGATCCATTTCTCTTTTTAATAGTAATATTTAGATTACTTTAAATGTTTCTATTTATTATCAATTTATTCATTTTCTGTGAATTACTTGTTTTCATGTTGTTGTTATTTAATTTAAGTTTTCTCATGATGAGTGATATGAAATAGTTTCTTTATAATGAATTATACATTGTGATTAATAAGAGAATATAATCCAGTGAATTGTGCTTTATAATATTGTCAACATTTGAATACAACTTATTAATCATCGTTTCATACAAACTAGATTGGTTATTTTCTATATTTTTGACATTTCTAACTCTCTAAATTTACAACAACATCATTCTTTTATATTTTTTACATTTCATCATTCAAATTTCAAAAAATATTATATTAACTGATAAACTATTTATTTTCAATAAAACAGTTGATAGAGAATGTGTTATTTTACAATATAATAAATAAAATTGTTTGTTTGTAATGTGTCAACTAAATACTAATCACTTTATTCATGACTAACATTGTTTGAACATGTTTACTTCTGATGACACTTTGAACAAAATATAAAATTTCAATTGAATTAAAAAGAAGAATTAATGAATTTGAATAAAACAAAATCACAAAACAATGCAAATGATGATATAAATTAGAATTTCAATACAATGTTATGAGAAAGAAGAGATGAGTGAGATGATATTGAATAAAAGAGAATGATGAAATTTAAATATAAAATTATTCATAAAATTAAATTGTATTTACTTCAGAAATAAAAACACAATAACAAATGTTTAATATTTAAATTAAATGAGTATCAATATTTATATGAAAATACTCATGGACATTATATAAAAATATTCATTTCACTTTTATATTAATCACATGTTCATTAATTGTTTACATCATATTCAATACATTATTTATTATTTTATTATTTAATTGATATATTAACAACAATGATAAGTGTTAATAATATTAAATAAAACAAATATGAAGTGATTATAAATTAAAAGAATAAATACTAACAGATATAAATACAGAGAATATAAGTAATGGTAAATGAATCATTTCATGATTTTATTAATCATTTACAAATGAATTAATATCATAACTAACATCTATTAACAATATATGATATTAAAATATTTCATATTTATAATAATTAATGATTAGTATATCTCAATTTAAATATATTTTATCATTCATTAATCAATATGTCTCATTACTGAAGTTACAATTTATTATTTTAAATATTCATTTGAATTCTCTTTCATTATTTCTATTGTTTCTTTTATTTCTTATTTGTTTTTATCTATTTCTATATCCATTAATCAATATGTATTTTTATGACATTTATGATATGATTGTATTTATTCTATCAAATGAAATAGAATAAAATAATGATGAGATAAATCATACCAATATTCATTAAAGTATTATATGAATATCAAACGTGATGTTATATAATAATTATCAATTTTCAATACAGATAATGTACTCCCATCATTCTTCTAACATTTGCACTTCTTATTTGATAATATTTATCATTCATTTATCATGTATCAGTTATATTTTGTTGTTTCTTTTCTATCTTATGATAAAAAATAAGAATGATAAGAATATGAACAATAACAATGAAAGAAGTGAATAAGAAAAGAAATATGAAACTACATAAGAATTAAACAATGAATTAACTGAATAATAATCTCATTTTAACTAAATAACAATCATTATATTAATTTAATGAATAAAATGAAATGACATTTATTAAAATGATAAAATAATAAATAATGATGTGTTATAAACGTGTATTTAATTACTTAATTATCTGATTTTAATCTGATATTCATTAAATTAAAATGGAAGAGTTAATAAACAAGAACACTCATTTCTTTAAAGAAGAAATAGAAAAACTTCCAAATATTCAACAATCAATTGATGATATTAATAAACATTATCATTATTATTTAGGAAGTATTAAAAATGAAATATTTGAAATAAAAGCAGATGAAACATATTCAGAAGCTATTAAAAGAGGAGAAAGAATAAATGATAGAAATGATGAAACAGAAAGAAGAAGAAAATTAGTAATAGAAAAAAGTCAAGAAACAATAAATAAAATAGAAATAATAAAGAATCAAATGAACAAAATAATAGAAGAATGTAATAAAGATGAAGAAATAAGTAATAAAATCATTTCAATTGAAGAAATGATATGAAAAATAAAATACTATACTAGAAGAAGAAATTAATAAAGAGAGAACACATTCCTGTGATATCTAGAGAAGAAGAGAAATTACAAAGAATATGGAATTTCAACAATTAAAACACAAAAACAAACAAAATGAAAGAATATAAACAATGTTCTTAATTATCAATATGATAATTAAAATATCACATATATTTCAATAATTATCATTCTTGAAAATAAATATTAATTATTGAATATGATTTTAAATTTAAAACATTCATTGTTATTGAAATGAATAGTATTTTATATTATTCTTTAATTTATCTTTCATTCAATTTTATTTACTAAATACATTCAATTAGTATTATCATTTATTTATCTGTTATTTTGACTTGAATTTTATCATTTTCATATTCTATTTGAATTTTATTCTTCTCTTTCATCATTCCACTTATTATTGATTTTGTTATTGAAGTTACTACTGTCTTTTCTATATATCGTCGCATTGGTCTTGCTCCATATGCTATTGAATATCCGGATTTAATGATTCCTTCTATTGCTGATTCTGTCATTTCTACTTCACTTAATGGATATCTCTTTTTAATCATTTTAATCACTTCTCCCATTTGTAATTTAACTATTTCTTTTAATTCTTTCTCTGAAAGTGGTGAGAATATTATAATATCATCTAATCTATTAAGAAACTCTGGTTTAAATGTTTTCTTTACTATTTCCATTACTGTTTCTTTAACTTTTCTACTAACTTGTCCTTCTGTTTCTACTCCTTTCATTATTATTTCACTTCCTAAATTTGATGTCATAATAACAATAGTATTCTTAAAATCAACTGTTCTTCCTCTTCCATCTGTTAATCTTCCTTCATCTAATAATTGTAATAATACATTAAATACTTGTGGATGTGCTTTTTCATTTCATCAAATAATATTACACTATATGGTTTTCTACGAATTGCCTCTGTTAATTGTCTCTTCTTCATATCCTACATATCCTGGTGGTGCTCCTATTATCTTGATACACTATGACTTTCCATATATTCACTCATATCTATTCTAACTATATTTTGTTCGTCATCAAATAATTCAACTGCTAATGCTTTTGCTAATTCTGTTTTTCCTACTCCACTTGGTCCTAAAAACATAAAACTACCTGTTGGTCGTTTTTCATTTCCTAATCCTCCTCTACTTCGAATAATTGCATCACTAACTGCTGTTACTGCTTCATTTTGTCCTATTACTCGTTTATGTAGTTCTTCTTCTAATTTCATCAATCTTGTTTTCTCTGTTTGATTCATTTTAGTAACAGGAATTCCTGTCCATCTACTAACTACTTCTTCTATTTGTGTTGGTGTAACTTGTAATGATATCATTGTTGTTTCTTTATTTTGTTCCTTTAATTCTTTCATTCGTTTTTCTGCTTCTGGTATTGCATAATATTTTAAATCAGCTGCTACTTCTAAATCTTTAGTA